TTCCCTACTGTACTACCTATTGGTCTTTCAAAACTAGAGGAAACTGTACACTCCTGATAACAGCGAAGTTCATTGCTAGCAGAATGAAGTGAGAACTTGTACATTGCATCAGCCAGTGTAGTAAAAAATCCCAACAAAACAAAAACCCCAAAATTAAAAGTTTTTCATCATCAACTCATTAGCTAGTACAGGATTTCTCTAATCCTCCCCTGTGATCTTTTATTTTATGTATTCTCAGCAGTGTGAAAGTGAAAGCTACAGCAGATCAACACTTCACCTCTGTGTTTACCTGGAGTGCCACTGTAGTGAAACCTGCTCATAAAATAATTCTTTCATAATGGAAAGCATTAGGCAATTTTAATGTATGGGTAGTTTACATCTTCCTGCATATCATTAATAATTTAGATAAACATCTGTTAGGAAGAGTCCAGTCAGAACTGACCTTGCTTTTAGGACATGGAGGATATTGATTAGATGATCTATCAAAGCTATTTCCAGTCTCATTTTCCACACTTCTTGGCTCTTTGGCTTCAGGTCTTGCCCCACCCCCACCCCCAAAAACCCAGAAGAGAGTGTGTGTGGGGGGGTTTCTTAGCTACATCAAAGCTATGGAGTAAATTAGTGACAGAACTGCTTCCTGGCCTCGTGTCCCTATCCAGCAACCAGTAAGGTGATGTGCCTAGATAACATGGCACTGGTTCAATTCCCACACACTCCTCAGCTGTATCACTAGGAGCCATCCCTGGAGGCTAAAATGTCCCATAAACTACTGCTGTATTCCCACGTGGCAGTTCTGTATTTTTCTCACCTGTCGGTTAGCCTCAATATACAACCCAAGAGTATTCACTCGGTAGCACAGTCCCTCTTTCATTATATGGACGTAGCAGCGCACTTTTCCTTCATGGAGAGTTTCATTCATATCTCCTCTATGATCATTCCAACAAGAGTTATCTGGAGCAGGTTTCAGCAAGCTATTATCTTCCTTTATGAAACTATAAATGTCTGGAGAACACACACATGCATGAAGTTAGACAGGATTTAATGAAATACTTTCTGAAGAGGAATACTATTAAAACACTGTTGGTGAAGGAAAATCTTTGCCTCACATCATCTGAATGGCTAGATACTTAGCAATCATTAACAGATTTTATCACATGTAGTGAGTAAGTGCTTATTTTCATTCTGCAGGTGGGAATCAAGGAATTGGGACAGATGCAAAGTTTTGCCCAAGGTCACACAAGGAGACAACGGAAATGCTATAAATAAATTCCAAGATCTAAGATCCTGTTCAGTTCCCAGTGCAAGGAGGTTAAGGCTTAGTCTGTTGTCCTACGCAATTTTAGGAACTCCCTCCTAAAATTACATTTTCAAAAGCGCATATTTTGTATTCCAGAAGAAAAAATACAGAGCACATAGCTGATTTGCTCTCGAATTACACCAAAATAAGGGAGGACAAAAAGATTTATACAATGTATAATAGTGTTTGAAAAAGAAATCTACTAGAATCTTTGCTATCATGAAGTATAAAAGAAAAAAAAAATCACTAAACTAGTGTTTCAGGCTGATTCTGTACTCTACCCAATAATTCAGCTGTAGCATTTGGGCTTTAAAACCTTCATCAAATCTTTGATACTTGTACTGACCAAGGGATACTTGCTCTTTTTTCTTTTGGTCCTCTTCTTTGTTGTCTAGTCCTTGCTGCAATGATGTAGGAGAAGAGAACTGCTTCCTAACCAGATGTGGAATCAGTTCACTCCGGAGAGATGTGATCGTTCTGGGGAAGAAGCACACATGAAGTCTATGAACACTAAAACTTACATGTCTTCATTTTCTTTGCATAACATTATCAGACATTTTGAACATTTTTCATAACAGCAAATCAAAATGCCAGGTACTCCAAGATATCTGGCACTAAGAAAATGTCCACTAGTCACATACTTCCTTAATGCATTAAAATATAAGGTAGATTCAAAATAAGGAAAAATCTTCATCTTCAGAACTATTTCCCCTACATTTTAACAGAGATGCCTATAATTTAATATGGCATCACCCTGCAATTTGTGCTTGTGTGCAGATGGAATGCAGAACAGTATCAACATCCTAATGACAACAACTGAAATCCACTTTAGATGGCTTAGAAGAATCTCATCGATTGACAGGAAAAGAGAATAAAGTTTATAGAGGAAAAACCAAAGCAGCTCCTTTTCTTTGTGACAAGAGTATCTGAAATAATTGATCCTTAAATGAAAATATTTATGACATAGACATTAACGATATCCTCCTGCTCACATGAAACACCAAGAACATTTTGAAGACTCAGTTCTTTAACCAAGAGAAATCAATACATTTTAACAAGTTTAGGTGCCATGAGTTTCACACTCTTTAGGTGCCCCTATCCAAAATACATCAGTCAACAGAAAGTTTCCAAAGATTTCAGCTGGCAATACAACCATCTTCCCTGCGTATAGATTACAACTTTTATTATATTAATTTTGATACCTCAATAGTAGGGGGCAGAGAAATCACAAGAGGAGTTTGTGATAAAGCAGGGACTTGACCCCAAGCCACCTATGCTTTAAACAAGGACCCTGATCAGCAGATTATCTTTCCTCTTGCATCGATTTATACATAACAATGAATCAAGAAAAAACCCTCCCCAATAGACAAACAAACATCAATGTAGAAAGTCTACTGTACAATGGGATTATAACTCTGGTAATTTGACTATTAGAAGATAATTTTATTTCTCAATAAAGTATTATTTGGAAAAAGCCCCGAATCAATAGTTTTTAAAGTTGGAGTGCATGAGATGTAGTCTTAAAAGAGCTTTATTGTTGTTTTATTATTTTAACAATCTGCATTTAGCTACTGAATTGTGGATTATTTAAAATAGTGCTTGGGAAAATCATGCAGAAAATGAACTCAAACTTGGCACGAATAAGAGGAAGTGCTAAACTTCAGAGGAAGGATTGGGAGAACTAACACAGAGAGCTTGGCTAGAGGAACTCAACAAATGATAACCTGCAAAAAACAGAGGAGCTATTTAGAATGGAAGACAGCAAAACTAGGAACTAACTATAGTTAAATCAGAGAAGGGAAGTACTAGAATGAGTGTCCTGAAAGTGACTGTGGTTGGCAAAATCTCTAGCAAAGGGGGATCTTAAACAGTTCAAACTTTACAGCTCATAACCCGCCCAGCCTCCTTTTCAGGTCAATGAAAGTGAAACAGAAAAAGGACCAAAACAGTCTTTCATGTCTCTAACTTTGATGGGAAGATTTAGATGCGATCACCAGTTCAGCCCTATGAACAAATACAGTGTTCTCCTTTTTCTTGACAACTTTTTATTCAGTCCTCAACTGTAGGTTGTGTCACTTCCTCCATCCTGCAGTAGGATTATGCAACCCATCCCAGATCTGATGGGTTTATTTTCTACTACAGACAAGAAAAAGCTCTAGTCTTCAGTCCCTCTTCTTTGAAAATCAGATTATAATCACCTTCAGATAGCTGTATTTCAGGAACTAATGAAGCAAACCACTTCATTCTTTAATCACCAAATTTCTCCCTGCTAACCATTCACAGGCGCGCTCTGCCATGGCTGCCCTGGCCCCGCGCTCTGACACACGTGTGGCTGCGCAGATGGGCAGTTTACTAGCTTACAATGTTTGCCTGCAGCTGTGCCATTCAGCAATGATTTCCTGCTTGGGTTTTATACTCCATCCAAAACCGACAATCCTGTGTTCCCCTCAGAGGCTGGCCATGGCATTTATAAGATATATTACCTATAAAATATCCAAGTATTTGGCAGTCTTAAATAGTCTGATGCAGAGGACAACACAACATGGTAGGAAATGAAAGCAGTGGAAAGGAAGAAAGACAAAGTTTTGCCTGGTTTTCAATGGTTTACTCTTTCTTGGCCAAACTCCTGAAGCTTTCCTGCAATTCTCTGAAGTGCTAGACACATTCCTTCAGCAAAGGTGGAGTAAATCTCTGGGTCATCCATAAGATGTGGCTCAGAAACACACCCTTCTTACTGGAAAAAGAAAAACAGGAAGGTTTGCTTTTGCTTGCTGTTTAAGCAGAATTTATATGCGACATTAAAGGAATTTGCCTTCGGAAAGTATTAAAAAACAAGCAGTAAGGCACTCAGTGACAAAAATTTGGGAATTTTTTGTGACAGATCTTGCAAATGTGGATATACGAAGTGATAGCATGAGAATATTATCTGACTGTCAACAGCGGGGGAAAGCAAACATCTGGCTGGGACTAGGAAAGGTATTTAAATCAAAGGAGGGATAGTACTGAAGACCCTTCATCAAGGGAGAAAAAAATAAGCAGGAGTTTGGAAGAACCAACTAGCCTGTAACCTAGATTCAGGAGAAGACAAACCAAAAAGGTTTCTGGTCTAGTGTGTTAAAAATTCTTGCAATCAAATCTGGAACTACACGAACCTATATTAAGAACAAATAAGCATACGACTGTATACACTGAAGAAAGCAGTCTTCTTTATTCTCTTCAGGTTTTAAAATTTGGCATCCCCCTGGTTTCTAAGCTTGCTATTTTCTTTAGCACCAAAAAGCAAGAATGAAATACCTACCGAGATCAACATAAGGAAAAAAATCTACTATGACCAGGAGAAAGAAAGTGGGAAGGTGGGCAGGAGAGGAGGGCACACAAAATTTTGGCAGAAATGCAGTTCTAAGCCAAATGCTCTGACACCCCACAGGAAACATCCAGAGAGTAGAGAGGATAAAAAAAATGAACCTGCTTTTGAGAAACATTTTCCAAAATAAACATGCTTTCATAAATTCCAGGTCAACTGACGAGCCTTCTTCATTTTTCATTCCCCAAAATTTGACTTTTGAAGTGGTAACTGTCTGTTTTCACCTTTACAGAAAGTAGTAGGTTTTTAATTAAACAGCCAGAGATTGAGAGTGCTGTTAAATTGCTGCTTTTAAAGGAAGAGGGGACTAATCCCTGGGGCACCTTATATGGCTTCAGTCCTGTGAGAACAACAGGAGGTGGCAGCAGTTTTGAAAGGGGTCAGTTTTGAACATATTTAAGCATATAAAAATCAGAATTGTATCTGGGATGGAATCCTCCATTCACACAGCAGGTCACAACAACGGGGGCTGTTGCCAAGATACAGTGCATACCTGGGGGAAATGAAGACAGCGGGCAGTTGAAATTCATGGTGCATGTGCAAGAAACAGCTGGGAATTCAAGATAAGATAAAATTTTGAAAAACAAAAGATCTCCCTTGAAAGGTTTATATTAAATGTACCTAATAGCTCAGAGCACACGAGTCTTTTGCAGTCAGCTCTGCAGACTGTAGACTCAGACCTAGGTGTTATAAACCTAGGATATGCAAGGTTAATTTTATTGAAAACCAAAAACGTTAAGGTACAAAAATGGATAGTTGGTCAAACAACTGTTACTTTACCATGTGCTATCACCATCAGAAATAAATCAGTACCACCTCTTTAGAATCCCTTTATCCCTGGACACTGTGCACTATGACATCTTCCCAGTGTTCCTGGGAAGTGACAGCTAAATTAAAAATTTTTACTTGTGAAGAACATTAGGTGAAAATACCCTAGATCTTTAAGTATCATATTTAAACACAGCTACACAGAAGTTTTCAGTGAGTTTTAACCACAAATGAAATTAGAACAGCCTATGATATGGCAGAATTAAGTTTGTATCTATGTATATTATATTATATAGTATTATATTACATTACATACATTACAGCCCACAGAGGGCCAACTTTTACCTGTTGCTGAAATGCAACTGCCTCTGGGATGAAGGGAAACTTATTGAAACTTTAGTAAGAAACGAATAACAATGGAGCCAACTGAAATGCAAGAAGAGTTTGGGGAAAAAAAACAAATAATGACCACCTAAACTTAAAAAAACAAGTAATTCACAATTATGCTTCAATGGACTGTGATTTCTGCTCTTAGACATACATGTTGCTGGAGACTCTGTCTTTCATATAACACAGAAAGTAATGGTTCTGATCAATGCTGGTAGAGAAAAAATGTCATCAAATATTTTATAATAATAGAAGAGTCTATTTAAGTCTAAATTTAGGTGATCTTACAAAAGTCTAGGTACCAGGAAGTGCTGTTTGGCTTGACCCACAGCAGGAAAGGAAGCATCCACCGTT